TACATAGACTGGAAAATCACCATTTTAGAGCTGGGAAAATCCACTATGATGGCCATTTTCGATGGCTTTTTCTATGTTTACCAGAGAGTAGTAGAGTTTATGGTTAAAATCCGGTGGGTTCTCCCCATGTTTCATATCTTAAAAAATGCCATGATTGGCTGAATCCGAGCTGCCCAGAGTCGCGTCGTGACCTGCGCGACCTTCGTGGCCTCCATCTCCAGCAGCCGCACGACCTCGACGTGTTCGTTGCGCCAGGCCAGGTCCAAGGGCGTCGCGTGACGTTGGTCCGTCATTTGCTGCGTGGGGTCGGCGCGGGACGACAACAGGAGGCCTGGGGATCACAGCAACAATGGTGGGAAGAAGCATAGTTAACCCAGCATGAAGTTAATTGACCATGGCTAACTATAATTATCATAAGTTATCATAGTTAACCCATCTTTTATCATAGTTAACCATGGTTAATTTATAGTTAACCCACGACGAAGTCAACTATGATATGGTCAATAACATGGTATAGCAACCATAGCTATCCAGATATTGACCATATCATAGTTAACCATGGTTAATCATCATAGATATTGGAAAATGTTGGAATATACGTGGGATTTCACATGGGAAAAAAACAGCTCACCCATGACTAAGCCAAAGCGGGAATTTCAGCGGGTCAAAACGGTATCCATCAGCCAGATTTGATCGGTTTCGCCACTTCTTGCTGGCTGTCATCCCACTTCGTCGTCCGAATACTGTAAAGTGATACTAATATGCTGAAAACATGCACCCCAGATATGATCATCATACTAATATAATACTAATATGTGATATATCATATCTGCTTAACACATCCAGCTTACGCCTGACTCAGTTCAAAATCAATTCCAGAAACGAGTGGTGATAATGGTGATAGCTCCATGTCACAAATGTCTCTGTTTTGCCCATCGTTGCAAACTTAACTCCCAAAGAAAACGGTCAAAACGTCATGGTGTTCCGAAAAATCAAGGACTCTGAAAATTGATTGGAAACTATATCGACCATCGTTGTGGGAATCATACCTACGGTAGGGTGGGCTTTTGGAGACGCTTTGCTAGTCTGGACTCACAGGATGACTAGGTTTTTTGCACAGCCAAGTGGATGTGAACATTTGTGTCAACCGGTCACGAACAGCAACGAAAATCTCTCTGATGGGTTTCTCCAAAAATATGGTGAAACCACTGATTGATCATCATCTCCATGTATTCATGGACCATAACCTATACCATCTGGTTATTTAACATAGCCATGGAAAATCACCATTTTTAATAGGTAAACCATCTATCAATGGGCCATCTATACCATGGCTATGTTAGTCATAACCAGAGGGTAAATCCTACAATCCCATGCCATGTTCAGACCCGTGAAGCCCATGTTCACAGCGCCAAGCAGCGAACAACCTCCAAATGACCAGCAAAGGCTGCCATGTGCAAAGGAGTTGTGCCATGGTCTGTTCCTAAGGTTTTCTAACATCAAACCGAAGATGACAAACAAATTGGAAACGCCAGTTTGTTTCCTCAGTCTCCCGGATTGGTTTACGAGTTTTACGAGTTTCACCGCTTGCTAAATCGGAGCTGCAAACTAATCTGGAAACGGGAAATCCTGATGATATCAACTGGAGAAGCTATCGCCTGGTGAATGTTAACGTGCCTCATACATCCTATGAATTGACTGTAAGGTAGCTATCTGGTCAACTATTCGCTTACTTTTCCATGTCAGGCTCTCAAAGAGGGTGCCAGTTTATGTCCCCAGGTGGGGGCGGTCTGAACAACAGATGGATTGCACTCCTGAAATACAATGCTTGTACGCCAGCATGGCTCAGTCTCCACACCAGTAAGCTTTTTCGAAAGCGTTTTTAGTTACACATTGCACGCGTTTTTCCTAAACCGTAAGCGACGTAAGCGATGCCACCAAAACAATCACCAAGGTTCTTCTTTGGTCGATCTGTGCACCCCCGTCCAGCAATAGCCGTACGATTTCCATGTTTCCTCAAATGGCACGTGAGCTCAGCTGAAAGCAACCATGGTAACCATGTATTTACTGCATCGAATGTATCAATGAAGGTATCTAGCTAATGCATGTAATGTACAAACTCAAAAAGTAGATACTTCCAGAACGGATTTTCAGGAGGATTTGTAATTGGCCATTGACCACACATTTTTTTTACCCAGTGGCAATCAAACATGGCAATGGACAATCCCCCTCGTGGCCAACCGTTTCATCCACCGTTCAGAATTTTCCCATTGCCATGTTTGATTGCCAAACGGTAATCGGCCAATCAACAACTGCCATTTGACCAATTTTATAATTCCTTTTTAACCGTCCTATTTAACATTATCCACCATTTAATTCGATCATTTTTCGATTTAACCACCCCATTGAGTGTCGAGATTTCCCATAATAGCAATGCTTGAGTAGCAAAGTGCAACCATCCAATAGAAACTTCCCATTTCACCATATGCTTCGATGAGTTCCTACTAAAAGAACCATCCTTCTCAACATTCTCTACCAGTTAGTTCGATCATTTTCCCAGCCATATTAACCAGCCAGCCAGTCCAAGATCATCCAAAACTTGCCATTTGAACATGTATACCCTCTGGTAAACTAAAATAGCTATTGAAAATGGTGATTTTATAGTTGATTTACCTATTAAAAATGGTGATTTTCCATAGCTATGTTAGTTTACCAAAGGGTAAATTCTATCCCACTTAACCATCTTACTTCTTATCCACCCTTTGCTTCGATGATTTCCAACCATTCCTTTAAGTCGATCATTTTCCCACTAAGACCTTCATTTATTTGGGGATTTTACCAAAAGATACTGAACCATCCTACTCATCCGTTTGGATGATTTTTCAGCTGTAGATCTCCATCCAGCTATAAATCAGCCTACTCAGCATTCTCCATCACTTGCTTCGATGATTTTCCAGCAACCAAAATCTCCAGAAAGAAACATCGATCGAAACTTTCCCATTGATCGATTGTCCAGCTACAGGTCATCCAAGATCATCTCCAAGAAACCTTTCATGGCTGCCAGGTGCAGAGGCGTTGCGCCACAGTCCTTGGTCTTGGGATCTTTGTCGCTCCCTGCGGTCAGCAGCAGCCGCACCACCTCCGTCTGCCCGCGCCGTGCAGCCAGGTGCAAGGCGGTCATGCCGTCCTGGGTGGATGGTGGGCTGGAGGGATGATTGGGAGCCGTGGATGTGGAAAATCTATGGGAAATTCATGGGAAATCCCGGAAATCCTACCAGACAGAACCTGTAGATCAGGGCTTCATATGTTTACCATGGACAAGTTACATGGTGGCTTATGGTCATCGCAACATTAGCCAACAAAACGGGACCTAACCATGATACCACGGGTATCAAAAAACAAAAATGGTGGTGTGATGGTGATACGCATTGATAATCATCATTATTTCATGAAATCCAAATATGTATAGGTTGGTTAGGTGGATTTATACTACATGTGCAGGGTTTTGATGGGGATTCTTGTTTTCTGATGGAATAAGGATAGGGATCGGAACCCCACCAATCCAGGTTTGTCCAAAATGACCGTTGAGCTTAGTGAAAATGATATGCTAAACAATGATACACCGTGGTGTTTTCAGGTTTTCCCATTGTTTTCAGTGAAACTCATTCGAACTTTCATCCCCCCTCTTCACAGTCCTTGTTGATGGCCTTGTCTCTTTGTACTTTGGCCTTCAGGTTGCTGGATATGCTCAACTCCGCTTACAGAAAAAGCTCATCAAATCGTCACTTTTCCATGGTTTCAGCCCCATCTTTGGCATATTAAAAGTGTTGTTCAATGAATTCAAATGCCTCAAATGTCGTGCATCTCGCTTTTTCAGTAGGTCAATGCCAATATGTTGCAGACTAAATCACAATTAATTTTGCTGGTAAACTATGACCAACTCCCAATATCTTCCAACCCGCTCGACTCAGCCGAGCCTTTCCCAAGCCCCATCTGCGTTGGTCTGGAAATATGGTCATTGCGCTAAAATCCTCTAGTTGCTTATTTTCCCGATTAAAGTTGTCATTTTTGGGCGAACCCATGTCTTCCCCCCATGCCCGCATCCTACCATCATCTTTACCATGTCCTCATCAGGCTCATGCCCCAAAATAGTTCTTTTTGGGTTTCAATGCGGGCTATGTACCTCTCTGGTGCACAAACTGCAATAACCAACAAAAGGTATTAACCATGGTATTGAGGGGAGAGATACGCAGCAAAATGGTGGTATAATGCTGATAAGCCCATCCCCCCATCCCCCCATCCTCCCACTATTTCAAGCCCAGAATATGATTCGGCTTTGGTGATTGTGTATCCCCTCTCCCATCCCCAGATTCACATTATAGCTATAAATGAAGTTAAGCAAATATGATCAGTAAATATCAGTAATATTATCATCCATTATTTGATGATGTACACTATAAATTCACTATAATTAATATCATTTTTTCATTATAATACAGGATTACGATGATGTACAACCCATAATATCAGTAACCCATCATACAATAGATATTATCGTGTAGATCATCAACAAATAATACTATATACAGTAATCATCACACATTCTGGTTGGTGGTTTCAACCCCAGTGAAAAATATGAATTAGTCAGTTGGGATGATGACATTCTCAATACCTGCCTCTTCAAAAGGTGCTGAAAATTTCTGCCTTTTGCCCAATCAATAGGTTTTGCATAAGAACGACCTTTTTGGGCCAACCACCACCCAGTTCCCCTCTGATAATTTAACGTAGCTATTGAAAATGGCCCACTTATAGTGGATTTTCCCATTAAAAATGGTGACTTTCCAGTTCGCCATGTAAACGTTTACCAGAGGGTAAATACCATTAAAACCACAATTTTGTTGGTTAAACCCCATTAAACCCCATTAAACCACCATTAAACCACCATTAAACCACCATTAAACCACCATTAAACCACCACCCAGTTAACCCATCCCCTCCGCCTCCAGCAGCATCTTCACCATCTCCAGGTGCCCCGCCTCCGCCGCCAGATGCAGCGCCGTGACGCCGTCGCGGCGCGCCAGGTCCGCGGCGCAGCGCGCCAGCAGCAGCTGCCGCAGCGCCGTGCGGTGCCCGAAGTGCGCCGCCAGGTGCACCGGGGCGCTGCCGTCCTCGGTGACCTTCGGAGCCGCAAACTGCTGGGAAAAATGGAGAGAACGCTGTGTTTTACCATGAAAAA